GCAAGGAAGTAAGCACAAGATGCCGAACACCCTTAGCAGGATGCAGCGCACCCTTCATGCGACTCGCCGAATATCTCACGGCGCTTCGCGCTTGGTGATTTGAGAGCCTGGTCCGGTGAGAACCCGGCGTGCTCCGTCCCGGCTTTGTAGGGATGCGAGGTCAATGGTCTAACAACTATGGCATGCACGACTAAGCGTACCCCCCCCCCCCCACGCCCAAAACAAAACAACAGGGAAAAACTCGTAACGGAAAGAGAATTTTTGTCGATCTCACAACAAAAACTGACAAACAAACAAACAAACAACAAACGGTTCCGCACTGCACGACCGACCCCAGCAGCCGCTGTACTACGGAGCGCAGCCGGTGGTCTTCAACGTCACCGTGGCCAACGGAATGGGCGTCTCCGGCCACATCACGAGCTTGTCGTGGGCGGAGGAGGGCAGCTCCCAGAGGGCAGCAGGGAGGGACGGGGACGTGTTGGACGTGAGGGCGGAGTTTTCGGACGTGCTCTGGCCGTGGTCTGGGTGAGGACGTGTGGAAAGATCCGTGCACTTTCTGCGTCGGCATGCGCTGGACTGCCGTTGTCGTTGTGGCTGGTTGTGCGTGTTTTGTTTGTTTGTTGAGATAGATTCGTTCCTTCGACTGTTTTCGTTTGTTTGTTTGCCTGACGTTCTGTATCGATGTAAATCTGCGGCGACGTACGTTCCATTACCCCAGATTTTGTGGGCTGTTGTTGATGTATTTGATTTAACAATGTGATTCGCCCGTGTGGTTGGTTGTTTGTGTGGTTGTACGAATTTCTGTCTGTCTTCCTGCCTGCCCGTTGTTTTAGTCTATTTTTTTGTCTGTTGTTTCGGTCGCGCTTAACAATTGTGGCGGAGAACGCTGCACCGGTTGCTTCTTCCTAACTCTTTCCATGGAAGTGCTTTCACCTACTTGTTGCCACTCGGTCGAAGTGTCGGCCGTTTCTGCTGGATATACTCCGCGAGACAACGCGAGGTGGCGGGCATGCATTTTTCGCGCGATACCTTCGGCGGCGGCTGCCGTCACGCATTGCTGTCGCTGACGCCATGTTCCTTCTCGCCTTGGCGGCGGCTGCGTGTCTCATCTGCTGCGACGTTTGCGTGTGCGCTATGGCGTGGCCCAGTTTCCTCGCGCTCTCCCTGGCGGTGTCGGAGTCCGGCCGGGAGTTCCAGGGCCTCGTGTTCGGCAAGCTAGAGGTGCGCGAAAACAGGTCGTCCTCACCCGCCTCTCCGGCTGTTTTCTGTCGTGAGAGGCTTGTGCACCTCGGTCTGACGGTTTCATCGCTTCGTGTCCCTATAAATATGCCATCCAGGAGGTAGTGTGCTCCTCACTATTCCGACGATTTCATCGTTTCCTGGCCCCATTCCATACGCAAGAGGTGGTGTGCTTGTCCCTTTTCTGACGGTTTCACCGTTTCGTGCTCCCATGCCTGATCCGGACCGCCTTCTTCGCGAGAAATAAAGTGCATGAGGGAATAAGCAGGGACGGGGTACGTGGACCCTATCATCCCTAACCCTAACCCCGACCCCAACATCCCCGATGGCATGCTTTTTCCAACATGTTTACGAAATAGGAATAACTCGCGAGGGCTACTTGCCCGATCCACGAGGTGTAATTACGTTGACAGTTGTGTTTTGTCCCTGCGATTTATTTTTCCTCGGCTATTACCTTACCTCTCCATCTCGGTCCGTCCGGCGTGTCGATTGCTATCCCACAGCAGTAGTTTCAGTGCCGCCCAAGCAATCTTCCCGTAGCTTTGCCGCCCGGCTTCTTTGTCAACTCCCGATAGCTCGTCCGTAGCCCGCGTTGTTATTTGCAGGGAAACATGCCGGGCCCCATGTCACGACGGTAAACCTACGCTGCTGTGTTTCCACGCTGGAATCCCGCATAGTCCGCATTGTTCGTTACCGCTGCCGAGCTATCGTACAGCAGGAAAAGAAGACGAACCCCACATGTCACGACGCTACAATAGACATCCGACGTTGCTGTGTTTCCACGCTGGGATGGATCTCGCTCTGATTCGGCCACAGGTGGCGGTGGAATCAGTGGCGGGGCCTGGAGAGACGCAACCCCGTACCACGAACGCCGTCCTTCCGGTAACGGTTAGCGTTATCCGCCCGCCGCCCAGGCACCGCAGGCTGCTCTGGGATCAGTTTCACAGCGTCCCGTACCCTCCGGCCTACATTCCGAGGGACTACCTAGGTGGGCCTCTTCGACCCCAGCATTTGTTTCGTTCTTCGCGAGTGTTCTGGTATTTTTTTTGTCTACACGTAGATGTATGAGAATACGACGAGCTTACGGTAACAACATTTGTCTCTGCTCTAGCCGTCGACCGGTCGCCGTTTTTGTGTCTCTCCTCCACCAGGCGACGATGCCGACATGCTGGACCGGCTTGGAGACCACCCCCACACCAACTTCCGGACCCTGTTCGAAGCCCTGTTAGACGCGGGCTACTACGTGGAGATCCTTGGCTCCAACTGGTGAAGAATCGTGTTCTTCAGGCATCTGAAACGATGTTGTTCTTATTTCATTCGGTCGTCCCCAAAACCACAAAAAGTAAAACAACTACTGCTGTACTGTTCACTGGATGTGTCTTCCACAACCGCAAGGCGTAGTTTCAGCTGCAGCAGGACTGTTTCCTGAACATTTTGAGCGTGTCTTCCCCATTTCACAAAACGTAATAACAGCTACAGCACTGCTTACTGAACACGCACATAATATTGTTGCAGGTCCTGCTTCGATGCCGAGAGCTACGGAGCGCTGCTTGTGGTGGATCCAGAGGCCGAGCTGGGGCAAGACGAAAAGGCCAAGCTTGAGATGGACGTGAAGGAGAGGGGCTTGTCGGTGGTGGTGTTTGCCGATTGGTACAGCACGGATGTGATGTCCAAGGTATAGTATTCACACATTAGTGCCGACGTGAAAGAAACACGGCTGGTAGTGACGGCGTTCGCCAATTCGTACAGCACGGATGTGATGTCCAAGGTAGTTCATTCGCACATTGGCTCTGACGTGAAGGAGATAGGGCGATAAGTGGCGCTGTTCGCCGACTGGTACCGCAAGGATGTTGTGCCCAAGGTACAGCATAAGTCACACATTAGTGCCGACGTGAAAGAATACAGTATTCACACATTGGTGCTGATGTCAAGGGAGGTAGGGCTGTTGATAGTGATGGTGTTTGCCGATTGGTACAGCACGGATTTCATGTCCAAGGTATGGTATTCACACTTCATGCTCTCAGAGAAAGAGACGGAAAAATGGGGGGAAGGGAGGGTGGAGAGGCAATAATGACACCGGCGCATTTTCGTCCATGTCTGCTGTTTTGGTGTTGACGTGACAGCGTTGCCTGAGGTTGGATGCTACCTTTGCCAAATTTCGGCCGAAAACTTTGTAGAAGTAATCGTCGATCCTTTGACGGTTGTGGTTGTTCTGCTCGTTGTTGATCGCTGTCTACAGCAGCGTAGTAGTAATGGTAGTAATGGTGGCAGTAGTAATAGTAGTAGTCTACCCTGCTGCTTTCTTTGAGGATCCGTGGAACCCGTTGTACGCTAAATACGTGTAGGTCACAGCAGTTTGTTGCATGCCGGGTCACAACAGTACGCGTTGTGTGCTGGGTCACACACCATCCAAGTAATTTTTTGGTCCACCTCACGTACCGGGGGGGAGTAAATCGCCAGTTGATGGTTTGCTCGGTCCACCGCATGCGTGGTGTGCTTGGTCAACCACTTGGTTGTTTGCTTACTCAAGCACAAGTCGTGGTTTGCTTGGCCCTGAATATGTTTGCTTATTTCTAAGAATGTCTGGCCAAGGTCCGCTTGCTCTATCCCCTGTGCCTCGTGCTATGCATAGGATCCATCCAAGTCGAACTGCTTTGGCCACGTCCACGTACCCTGACTCCTTTGCATCGTATGTTGCAAATGATTCATCCAATTTGAACTGTTTGGTCCTTACCCCTTTCCCTCGTATAGTTTGCATATGATCCATCAATTTGAACTGTTTGGCCAAGGTCCGCTTCGTGGACGACAATACCCGCATGCCGTGGGAGCCGGTGACGGGCGGTTCGAACGTTCCAGCGATCAACGACTTCCTTCTTCCCGCCTTCGGTATGGCGCTGGGCGGGACTGTATTTGACGGGGTGATGAGCCTGCCTGGAGGAGAGGTAAGTATTTTTGTTGCGGGGAGGGGGAAGGCCCTGTTGCCTTCGTTTGGATGGATGTACTGGGCTCCATTTGGTTGTGAGCTGCGATTGGTCGATCTTTTGATGTGTTCGCGGGAGATGTGTTGCCTCTTTGCGCCGAGCGTGTTTTTGTTTCGACTTCTCGCATCCGGCGGGTATGCTTCTACTGCATCTTACGTTCGGCGTGGTACTAAACTGGACGTTATGAGATACAGGCAGCGTTCCTTTTGTTGAACACCGAGCGTTTTCTGCTATTTTAGGCTCTTATTTTTAGTCGTTTTTTGTACTTCGTAGAGTTTTGCGTAGGGTGTACTCCGGCGGTATTTTAACGCTACAGCTCTCGAGCAAGGGCGTCTGGGGTAGCATTCTACTTCCGGAACAGCAACGTCCGCAACTTCTTTCTTTTAACAACACCTGCCTCGCCAAGTCGCAAGCTACGTGGTGGACGGAACAAGCCCATGATGTCTACTTCTTGTGTTGCTTTTCGTTGGCGAGGTTTCCCTGCCTTCCGGACGAAAGCGCCCGTTCGAGCAACACATGCCAATGAACCGCCGCCCCAGAACCTAGCAGTCCGTGTGTTGGTTCGTGCTCCACCGACCTGACTTCCCCTGTGCCTGACCTCAAGCCCTAACAGTTTTCCGTGGCAAATATTTAATATTTTATATTGTTCATCATTTTTTCTTCGGTTTCTTTGCCTCGGCGCCTTACGTCCACTGTACCTGACCCCAAGCACCAACAGGTATCCGTTACAAATGTGGAATGTTATTCATTCTTGATTGTTCGGTTTCCTCACCTTGGCGCTTGACCTCTCCTGTACTTGACCTCAACCAGATTCTTTGAACATATGTATATTTTGTTTCTTTGTTCGGAATCAGCTGCATCTGGCATCCGGGAACGCGGTTTCAAGAATGCCCCCCGGCAGCCTTTTGGTTTCAGCGCCGTCCTTAAGAGGCATTGCGTTGCGAGGGGGAGGTGGATATTTGTCCCCGGGGGTTCTTCACATGAACGTGCCGGTCATTGGCGCCTTCGACACTAAGAGGTTGGTGAAATTTTCAGTAAGCCTTCACATGTTGGATGGAGCATGCAATCGGGGAAGTTGGGTTACGATTAGGGTTAGGGAATAGGGTCTGCATCCCCCCTCCCTGTCCTGTGTCCTTAGTAAGTTATTAATCGCGCGAAGGCAGCCCGAAGTTATTCGGTCGAACTGCTCTTTTGGCGCCGTTGGTGTCAGATGCTGTCGGCAACGGTCTTGGGCGCCCTAGAAACCTCTTATTTTCTCGGCGCCCTTGGTGTCGTTTGCTTCAATCAAGTTGGTCGCGGTCGTCGTTGATGATTGATACTCCGGTTGTTGCTGTTGCTGTTGCTGTTGTTGTTCCTGTTGCTGTTGCTGTTGCTGTTGCTGTTGCTGTTGCTGTTGCTGTTGTCTTCACAGTAAAATCCGTTCCGGTCTCCGCTCAGTACCTGCTCCTGATAATAATGACCAGCATAGTTTGTGGTGCGGTTTGTCGGCCGAAGGCATCTCTCCCGTTGAACTTTGGACGTTGTTTGCGGTTGTTCGACACCGGTGAGCGGGGGCAATTTCACCAGGTTCAAATCCAATGCCCTACACCCGATTGACGGTTATACTTGCGTGTCCCACCGTTCACGATAGTTCTGTGGAAGATTGAACCCCAAGAAAGCATTCCGCCGTGTGTGTGGGTAGTATCGTTCAGCCTTGTTGACGACCAGAAAATGTGGTACTGCTGTGGCCTATGTAGATGATGACTGACCAGCGCATCTTATTTGTTTTTCAACGCTAACTATTATGCTGTTGTCATGCTGTTGTTACCGACACCACCAAGCCACACCATTTCCAAGGCCGTGATAAGACTGGCCTCGGCTCCTCCGAATGTCAACCTTAGCCGAAGCACAGGTGGGACGGCATCGCAATGCTTGCAGAAAACGCGCGATCTCCACACGCGCTGACGCGTGATGATTCCCGCACGTGCGATTGTTTGTTTCGTCCAGTGGCGACAGTCCAGAAAGCACGAGCGGCAGGGTGTTCCTTTTCGGGGACTCGAGTTGTGCAGACGATACCGTGTTGAGCAGGGTGGGGGGCTCCGGCAGCGGCCATGCCAACGGCGCCCTAGGAGGCGGCAGCGACTGCCTGTGGCTCTTCGAGTCGGCGGTTCGATACGCTTGCGAGGTGCGCTGTGTACCTATCTGTAGATCTTGTTGCCGTTCAACAAGGTTTGCGTATGGTAACGATTATTTTAAGTTTTGCTGGACAAAACTTTGGATCGAATTCTGTTATTTTTCGATGCGCTTGCAAGGTGCGTTGCCTATATATGGATCAATGTGCCGTTCAACAAGGTTTGCGTATTAGAATGGCTATTTTCATTGTTTCTGGACAGAGCTTTGGATCCATTTCTAGTATTTTTCTTTCGTCATCAGACCCTTCTCGGGTATCGGGTAAGTATGATGACACTGATAGTTTCCAAGTAAATATTAAGAAACAAGTATAGCATTTTCCGGCATCGTGGTTCTATTGGCCTTGTAGCGGAATATTTTCAACTTCTTGTGACGATAAGGGTCATCCCCAACGGTGCATTAGGTAGGTGACGCAACATATCACCCCCCCCCTGGACCGATTTTCGAAGCACGAATACTCCACAGCAGACAACGCTGGCGGTGCCGGAAAATACGACGTTGGAACCGTCTGGTCGCGAGCTTTCCGAAAACGCATCATTTGACCGCTGTGGCATCATCTTGGTCGTGGAGTATCAATCGAGCTTTGAAAACCAGTCCAGAGGGGGCGTGTGATATCCTCCGTAACCTACGGAAGTAAGATGAGCAATATTCTTCGACGTGGCCCCTTTTGCGTGGGGATACTGTAGTGCATACTGTGGTGGGGAATAGGTGCTTGTATTGGTCGACGTTGTCGTAGGCCATGAATGGCGCCATGCGCGGCTAGGTATCAGCATGCCTTACCCTTTGTCCCGCTCTGGCGGACACTTCGTCGATCTTGGCAGGGTTTCGAGGACCCTGCTGTGTTCCGCGATGCGCTACGGGTTCCCCAGGATGCCGAAGGCGGCGACGACGGCCTCGAGCTCGACGGTTTCAGCGGAGGGAGCGGCAAGGGCGACGGCTTCAACGACGGGCACCCCTTGCCTGAACGGCCAGATGCGAAGAAGTGAGCCCAAGCAACAGCAGTGCCAGAGAGATGCCTTTTTTTTCTCTTTTTGTCTCGGCGTAGTCTAACCTATCTTGTCAAGACCTGGCGTTGGTCTGGTGCTGGTGCGAACAGCGACGGAGGAGGTCGGCGACAACACACGACGGCCGAAACCTCTACGGGGTAGAGTGCGACGAGCGCCTTCCAAGCTGCACAAGCGGTGGTGTTGGTTTCTCCGTCGGGCCACCGGTGGGATATTATGGATGCCCTGCCCGCGCTCTCTCGCGTACAGCCACAGTCCGGGTTCCGTAATGAACAGTAGTTTTCCTTTGATATGTGGACATAAGATAGGGAGGAATGATCATTCAGTCGGACCACATTCCTGGTGTGGTGTGGATTGGCGATTGACACTCACGCGGTGCTCTAGTAATTTCCAAGATGTCAGCCTGCAAGCCCAAAAGGTCCGTGATATCGGAATGATATTTGGAGTGGTTGTGCCCTGTCGCGAGTGGTCTCCGCAAAGCACCCACTTTTCGTCTGAGACATGGGTGGGTGTGCCCACTTTTTCCTCTTTCCCCATTTTGTTTCTTTCGCGCGCCATAGCCGGAGCACAACTGATGGATCTGGCCCCGATGAACGACCGCACCCACAAAAGCAATTGGCATGGGTCCACTACGATGATAGAGCTGTCGAGCCTTGGGGCAAGAGAAACACTCCACATGCCCATGATCGCGGGGTAGCAAGGGGGGGCTAGTTCGACGTTCGACCAAGATATGGCACTAATCAAGGAAGCAATCTTCCCGGTAGTGATTATTTTCTCGAGACCGGTCCGAGCAAACCCTCTTCTGCAGATAAAACACATTCCTACGTTTCCCACCAGTCATCGATTTCGTGAGCGCAACCCCCCTTCCAAGTATCGATGAGCATGAGTCGTCGCGATCTCAAGAAAGTGGCAAGCTTGTCGCATTGCTGTATCGACGGAGGGAGTCTAGCTGTGTGCTTCGACGTACATGCCGTAAATGACACAAGATAACACACCCCGTGGACCGAAGTTCAAAGCTCGATTACTCCACGGGGAAGAGGATGCATAGACGAAATGATACATTTCGGAAAGCTCTCGACCAGACGGCTTCAACGCCGTCGTTTTCGGCCCTGTGACTGTAGCTGCTGTTGAAAAATCAAGCTTTGAAAATCGGTCCAGGGGGTATGTAATCTTGTGTCATATACGGTATGCACATTGTTTACAAGGCGCGCCTCCGGCGTGCGCTCGTCAGAGCAGAGTAGTAGTGTGATCAAGGCGTGATGTAAGACAAAAGGAAAGCTCGTGTCGGTGAGAATCAGCTGCCAGCTGCCATCAGCGACGTCTCCCAAGCTCGAACAGCTCACACAGCCGACGTATTTCGTATTTTGTTACTCGGAAGAGCCACGCGAACCTCACCGAACCACATAAGGCGCCCGCACTCAAGAACCTCTAGTTTCGGCCGAGGCTGGGGTTCCCTCTTGTGCGCTACGAATGGTCGATATGTAGCTTTTAGTGTAGGGGTTCTTAACCGGGTTCACAAATGGTGCTTAGGTTCTAAGCTTCCGATTTTTTTCGAGTCTCAACTTCTTTACTGCTTTGTTCTTAAATGCGAGCGCTATCTGTATCCAACTTTGTGTTCAGTCTTCATTTTCTTTTGGGCTCATCTAACCGGTCGCCCGGTGGATTGTATTTCCAGGCATCAGGACTGGAGAAGGGACGCTCAGGAGGCCCAGGGCAGGGGCTTGCTGGAGGTTGACGACGCGGACAAGTGCAGCCGCAACCGATTTGACAGGGTCCCCACGGCCCTGAACCAATAGACCCCGACGTGCATATAGATCTTGGTGGATTTTTTCGCAAGATGAACGTGTACATAGCGGATGTTGGATTTTCTGCGCTTCTTGGCGATATTCCGTGGTCTAGATTAGTATCAGGACTCCCTGGATAGGCCGCTTCGCAGACAGACGTACGTGGCACGGGCCAATATGTTTTGTCCTGACCCAAGACGGCGATCCACTGTGTACAATAGAGCAGGATATTGCAAGGGTCGACGGTTGCACGCCTCCACCTTCCCCTACCGCTGATGTTGAAGCGGCTTGCCCCGGGAGAAGGAAGACTTGCTTTGGGTTTCCCGGGGCGTTCGGGCTGCGTTTCTGGTCCATTTGTAGAAAGCGCGTCTTTCGTTTGAAGGTCCGTCTGGTTTGTGACGTACAGCAGTGCAGATAGATGCGCTATTTACGCTCGAACGAATCCAGCACGGATGTGAGGATATGGTCAAGGAGATGGTTGGGATACCGATTGTGTCGCATTTCGCTTAAAGTCAGTTATGCTTCGAATGAGATTGAAGTCGGCCGAGGCGACTGCTGTGCCAGATCTGGGCGTGTCTTGATGTGGATCGCAGGTGATGGGGTTTCGCAATGTCATGCTACCCGGCCCTGTCGACGTGAATGACAAGAGCTCCACCAGCTGCAGTTGTTTGGCATTGCATTTGTCGTTCCTATGCTACATCGGAAATATGTATTGTCTATCCCTTGTCTTGTTGGCCGTATTGGGTCTAGCAGTAAAAGCCATGAAACGACGCTGTACCGTAGTCTCGTCGTTGTCGTTGTCCATGTTGTTGTGGTTGTTGTCTTAACATCAATAGTTTAGGTCCCACAAAAAAATCAGTCGGAGACGGGAAGCCTGAGTTTGCAACCACTGGCTACTACATGTCACAGCTTCTAATCATCCGCAACGCACTCGGGCGGCCATGAGGAGGAGTACATGAAAGAGCGGGAGCTTCACCAGAGTGAGGGGGGGCGGGGGGCACTGCTGTAGCAACGCGTTGTATTTACGGGCTGCGGGGCCGTGTCATGCGGTGTAAATGATTCATGGTGTGGGAAACAGCGCGTGGGAACGTTCGAGAAGTAGAATATTTTCTCAGTCAAGGTCGGTATTGCCTATTTTCGTAGTTTGCGAAAGATACCGCGCACACCTGTCCCTTTATTTTCAGAGGCCGTGAACTCCTACATGATCAATTGAAGAGGTTGCTACGATCCGTTGGTACCGTTTCCGAAAGCTCTCCACGAGACGGTTCCAACGTCGCCGTTTTCGGCACCGTCACTGGTTTTCCTGCAGAGTAGTCGAGCTTCTTGGAAAACCGGTCAAGGGCATACAAATGTATGTCATGCACCCCAGGGTGTACCGGGGGGTACGGTGTATCTCTGGTACTATGCTTAGAAAAGGTGACACAAGATATCCTACCCCCTGGACCGACTTTCAGAGCTCGAATACGTACTCCACGAGGAAAAATATGTAGTCTAAGATCCAACCATATATTCTTTTTCTGAAGCTGCTCGACGAGACGGTTCAAACGCGGACATTTCGGCAAATTTTAACCGGGACAGAGTTACATTCTGCATCGCCGATCTTTCTGCTGTTGAGAAATGGAACTCCAGGAGGTGTGATATCTTGTGTCACACCTAAAGCAGCGTCAATTATTGTATTATACTCTGAGTACAACACTTGTGAGCGCTATTTACCTGTACCTGTACCTGTGTGCGCGTGTTCGTTCATAGATTCTGTTACCACTCCACATACCGCTCGGTTTACGTGTTTGATGTATGCCAGCCGAGGTCACACGGGGGAAAGCTACTCGTGGAAATCCAAACGATACATGTCCAGCAAATAATCGCTGACAGGGTGGGTGGGTGGGTGGGTGGGTGGGTACCCCCCTCGCCTCTCACCCTGCCTGCGTTTCTTTGCCGGCGGCCCCCTTCTCCAGGCGCCGGCCGGCGGGACTGTTCACTCACTGCTGCTTGGTGCTGAGCTCTGAGCTCTCTCTCCGCCTACGGCTGGGGTGGTGTGGGGATTTAGGGTCGTTACATCAACCCTATCCAGTCCTGCTGGAGGTGAGATCTTCGAGTTGGAGGACTGAACGTGGGCGGCGTTCTATCATGTAGCAGCAGGCCGAGCCGAATTTTTGAATTTCACTCCGAGACAACGACGGTACCACTCCTGTAGCTCTGCAAGCAGCGACCTTCGACTTGAGACACGACCGACGAAGGCCTCGCTACCTCACGCAGCTGTGATGCGTTGCATGAATTGTCTTGTCTTTCTTGTCTTTGCTGTACGATGCCCATATAGCTGCACTGCATAAGTTGTGCTGCCTCCACGCATGTGCATGTATATATTTTTTTGTTCTCCCATCATCGGATTCTGCCCCTCTGGCTATCCTCCACTTCTACTTTTTAGCTAGACGACCCAACCGGGGTCACATAGGAGGGGGGGGCTGGACCCCCTCCTGCGGTTCCTGCCTGAGGTATTGTATATGTAGCGCAGCAGTTCACCGCTGTTGACATAAGAATACCGCAGGTTTCACAAGATACCATACCCCCTGGACCGGTTTTCAAATCCCGACCACAATACTCTGTGCACCATGAAACAGCAGTGGTCCCAAAAATGTCGGTGTCGCAACCGTCTCGTCGAGAGCTTTCCGAGAACCGAATGATCGACGTCAGTATCCTTCATTTTGGAGTACTGCTGTTCGTTACCAAACTGCGGCAGATACAGTACTGTAGGTTGCATAAGATACCGCACCCCCTCCACCGATTTTCGAAGCTCGATGGCTCCGCGACGACGAGGATGCCACAATGAATACGGTACTTTTCCCGAAAGCTCTCGGACGAGACGGTTTCAATGCCGCCATTCACGGCACCGTCGTAGGTGTTATGTGCTTCAAGGAAACCGTGCTTCGAAAATCGGTGCCGGGGTGGTGTTACGGCAGATACACAACAGTCAACACACCGATTCAGCAGCCTTTTCGCTTGGACCAACATGCCGGTGGCCCTGCGGGGGAGTCCCCCAAAGTGAACAGTTGTACTTAATTGTGCGTTCGCATGCGTCAATGGTTGCTTGGAAAGAGTAATCATTTGTGGCGTAGTGCCACTCCGGGGAGCTGTCAACAACGACAGTACAGTCGTACTGTACACCGCCCAATATTCTGCTGATGTAGTCGACGGCCTTGTGGGTACGTGTAAACAGTAGCTGCGAGGAACACAGTGTGCGTCGGCTGTGGCATCAGATGACTCCCAGATTGCGGCCTCTCAGAGATCGTTCAGTAGCAATTTCGGTATCTACCTGACATTTACTTCTTGGGGGTGCATACTTGCTGCCTCGCCGTAACAGCAGTGGCAGGCGTACATCGAGGGTGTGCTTGGTACTGTACATGTAGACTTTGCTGTTCATGTAGTCCTCGACATTGGTGCTGTACAGTATACTCTGTATTGCGGTTCCGTGCTACATACCACACAAATTGTGGCCCTGTGTACCGCTTCCGAAACGTAACTGCAGTGTTATTGGCACACTCTATTCCTTGTGGTGGTGTGCGCTCCTGAGACGACAGTACTCAAGACACTTGGAATCCGCACTTGTCCGCACTCAATCTGCCTTACAGTAAGTAGTGCTGCAACTACCACATTGGGCAATTCTGCGATGCCTTAGCGTCTTGGTAGTGCAGGCCCGGCAACTTGTCCACGGCGTGCCCAGCGACTTCGTGTTTGCCACTCGGGTACTGCTCACCCTTGGCACTCGTCCCACGCCTGACACGGCCCCTGCAAAGGAAGGAAGTTTCATCGATAGGATATTGCGTCCCCAAACCTGAAAAGTAAAAAGTACCCGAAACAAAAACACAAGCAACACCCCAAACCCAACATATTCAAACACGTAATCATCCTCCGACTCCAACATGTACTTCTTGACACTATTTGTCGTTCGGTGTGCATGCCAGCACACCGTTCCTGGATCTTGTACCAGGTTATCCTGTTAGTGTTGGCTATTAGGGAAACATAATTTTGGGTCACCTTTGGCAAAAAAGGGAGGAAAGATTGGCCATCGGCGATCGATCGTGTGGGAATAATACTCCGCCCTCTCGAGGACGCGTGGTCAATGCGAAACATGAGAGTACGCTCCCCCCTTCCCGACGCCCGCACCGTGCCTCAACATCAGATCGCCGGGGATAGGCAAAAGGACCTCCAGCAGGAAGTCTTTCACCGATTTTGTTGTTCCAAGGACACCTTGCCCCGGTCGGCGAAAAAAAAACGTCAGCACGCTTGGCCCTGTACGGTATTGGCGCACCAGGCGATGAATGCATCTCCCTCAGGCGGCCCAACTCCCCGCTGAAGACACAAGAAGGTGCTCCTGAATACTCGGTGACTTCCGCACTCATGGTCGTCACGGAGCTGACTTCCTCGCATCTTCCCAGCTATTTTCAGACGATGGCGAGCAGCGACGCTAGCTAGATTCCTCGCATCTTCTCAGCTATTTTCAGACGACGGCGAGCTGCAGCACACGAGGAAGTAGTATTTACTTCCCGCCGAGCTAACTGTTACGACCGCCACCTCTATCGTGCAGCAGCAAGCACCCAGGCAGCACACGTTTTAGTAACTCTGCGGCCGGACTGAGTAGAAGGCCCCGCCGGTGTCGCGCGATGACCTCACGTGAGGGCGTGGCAGCAGCAGCAGCAGCAGCGAGTGGCAGGGGGCGGGGCAGGGAGACTCCAGGACGTGGTGGTCGAGATGCTCAATCGGCGAGAGGAGCGTGGGTGATGGAACCCCCGCTCGTGGGAGAACCAGGCGCTGCACCGGGTGGAGGCGGTCGAGGCGGCCGTCGGCCGCCGCCGGGCTTGGGCACGGCTGCCGATATGCATGACGGCGGCAAGAACCTGTCACGACGAAAGATGCTGGGCTTGAGCACGGCGGAACATGTTCGCGGCGGTGGCAGCAACCTGCTGTCGCGACGGGAGTCGTCGTCGGCTTCGAAGGAGACGCGTCGTCGCAACCCGCCGCTGCAGCCGGGCCGAGAAGCGCAACAAGAGATTGTCAATCGGAACAGTTTCCGGCCGTTGCGGGAAGATCCCGAAGAAGAAAAATTGCAGCAGTTCCTCCGCACCAACAGCCGGTCGTTACCAGAAGACCGAGAGCGGGGCCATCTTCAAAGGGACTCTTACCCAACACCACGCGGTGATGGTGGGCTCGGCAGGGGCGCCCACGGCGATCGCTGGCAGCATCTTTCTGGCCGGGAGCAGCAGCACCCCCGCGACGAGGAAGACGACGGCCCGGGCGGGGAGTTGGAGTTGGAAAGGCGTGTTTCCGGTGCGGGGTGCGGGGACGGGTCGTTGTCCCGGACGGCGGGGGCGTGGGGTGATCGAGCAGGGAGTGGTGACCGCGGAAAAGGGGGTTTTCGGGAGGCGCCGTTGACGTCGATGCTGTTGCGGAAGCAGCACCAGCACCAGCACCAGCAGAAGCAACCGCAGCCCCCTGGGTTCGTTGTTCACGCAGAGGAGGTGTTCAAGTGGATGGGGGTCGAGGGGCTGACGCCGGAGGTGCTGCGGAGAGCGAAGAGGGGACTGCGCGAAGAGGCAGTGGTGAGCGGACGCGTTCCAACAAACGTTTGACCGGGGGTAGTGATGACAATGGAGCGCGTAATTACTAGGTCGTGCCGCGTAGATTTTTTGCCCAAGACCTTATTTCACCGGGCCCGCCTTTCCAGTCGTCGGAACCCATCTTTGACCTTTCCTTTCTTTGGGCCGCCACCCACAGTTGCAGATACTTTTTCGTTTTTTTTTTTACCTTTCTCGAGTGTCTCACTCCTGCATTGAAGAGGGTACGAGTGAAGCTCTGTTTTTGTTTGCAACTGGTACCTTTGTGAGACGGGGAAGCCTGGCGAACAGGGAGGAAGAATAATGCTACGGCTACATGAACAGCGTGGCGGACTGATGCCTTTTTTTTTGTAGAAACGTAGACTAAAGCGTTGTCGTGTAGACGCTGAAGCTCGCACTTCCCTTGCCTGTACACCACCCTGAGCTCGAAATACCCCAAGATACCGACTCGGAAACGATCAACCTCCAGCGATTGTGCTGTGGAGCAAGCTATGAATATTTTTTATGAACGCCTTTCCCGGAGTGTTCGTTGTTTGCAGCATCGTCTTCAACTGCCTTGAGTCACCGCTTCTTTTTGCAGTGGGCGGCTGGTAACCACACCACAACGTTGAAAAGGCGTCAACGTGCTGTCCAAATAAACTGACACGTACCCGCTCTCGCGTAGCATAGTACGTTGGTTCTTCTTGAACCATCATCGCGTCGCGGTGCCCGTGTACGTTTGAGGCGGGACGGGTTTGAGTACATATCTACGCAAACCGCTGGCGGTTGTCACTGATCTTCTTGTCGGCTGCAAGCACCCACCTCGGTTGTTGGCGCACGCACGCTCATTGGGGATACCTAGATTAGTCTTTTTTGGTCCCCGGTTGCTGACCAACGGCAGACTGTAGTGCGTGCAAAGTTCTCTTTCCCATGGGACCCAAAACGCTGCCAACGCTCGACGCCGGCAACGAGACGTATACCCTCAAAGATGATGCCAACCTTTTGAGCCACGCGCGTTCATCCTTAACAATGGATCCCCCTCCTCGTCACTACCCGACCACCAACCGCTGGACGGAAAACTCGTGCCACGAAAAAAATATATATATGCATGCGTCGAAAAAAAGGCTGGCAAGATGTGGAGGGCTTTGCTCCGCGTCGCTCTGCTCCACCTCGACGCTACCAGGAGAAGAGGAGAAGCGCCCGCGGCGGCGCTAGCGAGCGCGACAACGGCGGCAGCGGCGGCGGCCGACGCTCCCGGGAGACCAGAAACCATCCCGGACACGCCTGCTGCGACAGCGACCAGACCACCCGCTGGAGGATCATCCTCCGGACCCGTGCCGGTGCCGGTCTCGGCATCCGTACCACCGAGGTCGAACTACGACGGCGCGAGAGATAGCGGGCGGACTCCGGTTTGGGGGTGGGTGGGGGGGGAAGAGGGGGCGGCCGCGGAGGTGCCCCTGCCCGTGGTGATGGAAACGTGCGGGTATCTGCTGCCGCTGTGGGGATACAGGTGGGTGGTAGGTCCTAGGGGTTTCGAAAGGAACAGCAGCGATTGAAACTTGAGGGTATCTGCTACCGCCGTTCGGATACACGTAGGTAGGCCGTAGGGGTGTCGAAAGGTAGCGACAGAGCGGGTACGCTCCCGTGGCGGCTTGAGCTTCTTGGAATATATTCTCGTTTTTTTGTTAGTGTGAAGACAACAACAACTTGGTGAGGGCTTGCAACAGTCGTGCTGCTCCGTTCTGAAATAGCGGTGGGAGGATCGCATGCACGACACCAGCAACCTACCGACCGAAACAGCTCCAGTCTTGGGAGCATGACCACGCCCCTCGGTGGACGTCCTTTGAGTTCATCATGCGGTTGAAACAGTGACCTGCTTGATGATGGGGCCGTTCGATCGATGGACAGAGTAGCCGTCATGGTGTTTACGATGCTTACCTGCTCTCCCTCCCTTTGTTGCCTTCGCTGCTTATTGTTCCGTCTCCAACGTTACACCCGGCTGCCTGTCCTGACGAAACCAACCCCCAGTATCTCTCTCTCTCTCTCTCTCTCTCGTCTCTATCTCTCTCTCTCCCTCCCTCCCTCCCTCCCTCCCTCCTCCCCCCCCCCTCTCTCTCTCCACTCCCCCCCGGTGTTTGCCATCGGGATGGGGTTTTCGTCGCTTGGCAACGACGTTGTAAAACAAGCCAATTCACTTCGTGAGCTCGGCAACCAGGTTACCGTGTTTTTTTTACCGCCGTTTTTTTTCTTGGCGGTAACCATAGTTGTGGTCGAGTAGATCATGTTGTGCAGGGTGGAGAACCCTCACTCCACGCAAGGGGGGTATTCGCACCACGTTGTGTTTAAATGGTCAAGCACCCTCGAGGCAGTTACACAGTGCTTACAACTGTCTCTGGAAGTGAAAGCACCAGAAAATAAATTAACTCATCCGTAGCTGTCATCCGTAGGCAAGGAAGTAAGCACAAGATGCCGAACACCCTTAGCAGGATGCAGCGCACCCTTCATGCGACTCGCCGAATATCTCACGGCGCTTCGCGCTTGGTGATGTGAGAGCCTGGTCCGGTGAGAACCCGGCGTGCTCCGTCCCGGCTTTGTAGGGATGCGAGGTCAATGGTCTAACGACTACGGCATGCACGACTATGAGTACCCCCCCCCCCCCCATCTGTAAATTTTTTCTGTCGTAATGTATCCCCGACAACTGCACATGCATCGTGATCGTGCGGCACCCCGCTCAATGCGGTATCAGGAGGAAGGCTTTCATCGAAGGAATCAAGGCTTGCGATGTGTTACAGACACGAGAGGTTGGTGCTGGACCTATTATCACGTAGATTTTTCCTACCGGAGTATTTTTTTGATGACCAGCACTTGTCTAACTTTCTTCCTTGATTGAATAGGACGCTGGCTGTGGTTGGTCGACTGTGTTTATCTCTTTCGGTGGGTCGTTGGGGCAGTGGCGGCATCCAAGCGGCAGGGTTGCTGTAGAACGTTGTCACAGGACTCTCACGGTTTCTCGCGGTGCTGTCTACAAAAGCCACAAAGGATGAAAAGTGAGTTCGCGTTGTTTTTTCTGCCAAGACCACGCACCTGGGGTCGTTGGCCCTCGTGAGTTGCACCATCGCGGGATGCACAAGGGCAGACCGTCGAAATTACCCTCCGAGCCCTCCCTCTTTGGTAGGTGCTATTGCCTAACATCAATGGCTGCGCCTCTCCTTGATATCTGGGCATGGCTAGACAACGAATGGCTGCGTGGGTGCAGGACTGGCGCGGTGTCTGGAGAGAGCACGCAGGTTTTGGGACTTGTTTTCGCGTGCGACACATGGAGCTATCGGGGACTGTCATATTCCCCAGCGACGACATCAAAGAAAATCGTTATTCTCCAAAATACTCTTCGATAGACGCAGTTCTGTGGGACCAGTTTGGCTCGATGGTACCTACCCCCGTTTCCGTTGTTCCCGTTTATCCCCCCCCCCCTCAAATGCCCCCCCCCCCGGTGTTTGCCATCGGGATTGGGTTTTCGTCGCTTAGCAACGACGTTGTAAAACAAGCCGCCCCTCCCGGTGTTTGCCATCGGGATTGGGTTTTCGTCGCTTAGCAACGACGTTGTAAAACAAGCCGCCCCTCCCGGTGTTTGCCATCGGGATTGGGTTTTCGTCGCTTAGCAACGACGTTGTAAAACAAGCCGCCCCTCCCGGTGTTTGCCATCGGGATTGGGTTTTCGTCGCTTAGCAACGACGTTGTAAAACAAGCCGCCCCTCCCGGTGTTTGCCATCGGGATTGGGTTTTCGTCGCTTAGCAACGACGTTGTAAAACAAGCCGCCCCTCCCGGTGTTTGCCATCGGGATTGGGTTTTCGTCGCTTAGCAACGACGTTGTAAAACAAGCCGCCCCTCCCGGTGTTTGCCATCGGGATTGGGTTTTCGTCGCTTAGCAACGACGTTGTAAAACAAGCCGCCCCTCCCGGTGTTTGCCATCGGGATTGGGTTTTCGTCGCTTAGCAACGACGTTGTAAAACAAGCCGCCCCTCCCGGTGTTTGCCATCGGGATTGGGTTTTCGTCGCTTAGCAACGACGTTGTAAAACAAGCCGCCCCTCCCGGTGTTTGCCATCGGGATTGGGTTTTCGTCGCTTAGCAACGACGTTGTAAAACAAGCCGCCCCTCCCGGTGTTTGCCATCGGGATTGGGTTTTCGTCGCTTAGCAACGACGTTGTAAAACAAGCCGCCCCTCCCGGTGTTTGCCATCGGGATTGGGTTTTCGTCGCTTAGCAACGACGTTGTAAAACAAGCCGCCCCTCCCGGTGTTTGCCATCGGGATTGGGTTTTCGTCGCTTAGCAACGACGTTGTAAAACAAGCCGCCCCTCCCGGTGTTTGCCATCGGGATTGGGTTTTCGTCGCTTAGCAACGACGTTGTAAAACAAGCCGCCCCTCCCGGTGTTTGCCATCGGGATTGGGTTTTCGTCGCTTAGCAACGACGTTGTAAAACAAGCCGCCCCTCCCGGTGTTTGCCATCGGGATTGGGTTTTCGTCGCTTAGCAACGACGTTGTAAAACAAGCCGCCCCTCCCGGTGTTTGCCATCGGGATTGGGTTTTCGTCGCTTAGCAACGACGTTGTAAAACAAGCCGCCCCTCCCGGTGTTTGCCATCGGGATTGGGTTTTCGTCGCTTAGCAACGACGTTGTAAAACAAGCCGCCCCTCCCGGTGTTTGCCATCGGGATTGGGTTTTCGTCGCTTAGCAACGACGTTGTAAAACAAGCCGCCCCTCCCGGTGTTTGCCATCGGGATTGGGTTTTCGTCGCTTAGCAACGACGTTGTAAAACAAGCCGCCCCTCCCGGTGTTTGCCATCGGGATTGGGTTTTCGTCGCTTAGCAACGACGTTGTAAAACAAGCCGCCCCTCCCGGTGTTTGCCATCGGGATTGGGTTTTCGTCGCTTAGCAACGACGTTGTAAAACAAGCCGCCCCTCCCGGTGTTTGCCATCGGGATTGGGTTTTCGTCGCTTAGCAACGACGTTGTAAAACAAGCCGCCCCTCCCGGTGTTTGCCATCGGGATTGGGTTTTCGTCGCTTAGCAACGACGTTGTAAAACAAGCCGCCCCTCCCGGTGTTTGCCATCGGGATTGGGTTTTCGTCGCTTAGCAACGACGTTGTAAAACAAGCCGCCCCTCCCGGTGTTTGCCATCGGGATTGGGTTTTCGTCGCTTAGCAACGACGTTGTAAAACAAGCCGCCCCTCCCGGTGTTTGCCATCGGGATTGGGTTTTCGTCGCTTAGCAACGACGTTGTAAAACAAGCCGCCCCTCCCGGTGTTTGCCATCGGGATTGGGTTTTCGTCGCTTAGCAACGACGTTGTAAAACAAGCCGCCCCTCCCGGTGTTTGCCATCGGGATTGGGTTTTCGTCGCTTAGCAACGACGTTGTAAAACAAGCCGCCCCTCCCGGTGTTTGCCATCGGGATTGGGTTTTCGTCGCTTAGCAACGACGTTGTAAAACAAGCCGCCCCTCCCGGTGTTTGCCATCGGGATTGGGTTTTCGTCGCTTAGCAACGACGTTGTAAAACAAGCCGCCCCTCCCGGTGTTTGCCATCGGGATTGGGTTTTCGTCGCTTAGCAACGACGTTGTAAAACAAGCCGCCCCTCCCGGTGTTTGCCATCGGGATTGGGTTTTCGTCGCTTAGCAACGACGTTGTAAAACAAGCCGCCCCTCCCGGTGTTTGCCATCGGGATTGGGTTTTCGTCGCTTAGCAACGACGTTGTAAAACAAGCCGCCCCTCCCGGTGTTTGCCATCGGGATTGGGTTTTCGTCGCTTAGCAACGACGTTGTAAAACAAGCCGCCCCTCCCGGTGTTTGCCATCGGGATTGGGTTTTCGTCGCTTAGCAACGACGTTGTAAAACAAGCCAATTCACTTCGTGAACTCGGCAACCAGGTTACCGTTTTTTTTTTTTACCTCCGGTTTTTTTTTTTGGCGGTAACCATAATGGTGGCCGAGTAGATCATGTTGTGCGGGGTGGAGAAGCCTCACTCCGCGCAAGGGGGATGATCGCACCACGTTGTGTTTAAATGGTCAAGCACCCTCGAGGCAGTTACACAGTGCTTACAACTGTCTCTGGAAGTGCAAGCACCAGAAAATAAAGTAATTCATACGCAGCTGTCATCCGTACGCAAGGAAGTAAGCACAAGATGCCGAACACCCTTAGCAGGATGCAGCGCACCCTTCATGCGACTCGCCGAATATCTCACGGCGCTTCGCGCTTGGTGATGTGAGAGCCTGGTCCGGTGAGAACCCGGCGTGCTCCGTCCCGGCTTTGTAGGGATGCGAGGTCAATGGTCTCACGACTACGGCATGCACGACTATGAGCACACACACCCTCAATTCCCCCCCGGTCCCTTCCAGGTCCCTTTCCCCCCGCTTCCTTCCCCCCCGATCCCTTTATCCCCGCCCCCTTTCCCCGCCCCGCTCCCTGTTTCCCCGCTTCCGTTTTTTTCTTCTTCGTCTTCCCCGCTTTTTTTTTTTGTTTAGCTTTTGCTGGCGCTCTCTTGGATGATGGCGAAGGCGAAAGCCTTCCCGGCGTTCGAGCAGTCTCGCCTCGTCTCGCCCCTCCCGACGAAGACGCCCGCCAACCCAACACCCCCGCAGGGCGGGAATAAATCGGCGTCGTCACCCCCGCCGCCGCCGCCGTTCCCACGGGACGTTTCCGAGACCCCGGAAGTTCGGCGGGTTTCCGCGGAAGCGTTCGCGGCGTTCCTGGCAGCGGAAGAACGGCGCTCGGTTCCTCCGCCGGACTGGGGGGGGCGTCTGGGAAAGGAAGAGGCGGTGCGGATGGGAGAGGCGGAGGCCAAGGGGGAAGGAATGGCGAGGGCTCTGGGGGCAGCGAGGGAGATGATGTCCTGCTACGGGGGGCTCGAGGCGGAGCTCCGGGTTGTCGAGGTGCGGCGGGGCGCGGCGTCGAGCGGGGCGGATGAGTGAATCGCGCTCTCCTGTTGGAGGCGCGCTTGCTTTTCCCTACCTCGTCGAGGGGGCTGGCCTGTTCTTCGCGGTGACCGTTTGGATTCTGGCGACATCGTGCTTGAGTACATGGCATGTGTACGCAATCGTGTTTTTCCTTGGAGGATTCCCCCCAAGACGGTTTTTTTGCCATGCGGCGCACTTTCCAAGGCATGCGCTGCAAAACGTCACCAAACCTATTGTAGGCGTGCTTGAGCGGCGAGGTAGTTCATCTTGAGGCGACAACCAACGGGCGGATGCTACCTGGCTTATTTGTAGCATACGGTGGCAGTTGAGAAAGGATGCTATCCTGTCCTTGAGAAAAGGATGCTATCCTGCCCTTGAGAAAAGGATGCTATCCTACCCTTAAGAAAATGATGCTATCCTACCCATGCTTTCGCGAGAAATTTTCTACGCAATAACCGAGGGTATATGCACCAGGTCAGATACCCCGTTTTGATATCCCCACGCGGCAGTGAAGCCGAAAGGGAACGGTTACACGCGACCCCCTACGTCGCCCACGCCCTTATCCCACCCGGAAAAATACCGTCCTGTGACCTCGCGCGATTGATTGCCACTTCTAGGGCCTAGAAACGGCGAGGCAGCGAATGCTCCGGAGAATGCGAAGTCTGTTCCGAGACGTGGCCGAATCCCATCCCGGGAGTGGCAAAGTTGCAGCTTCACTGCGGACCATCGAGACAGGACCGGGGTATCAACAGCAACAACAACAACAACAACAACAACAACGACAACAGCAACCCTCCGCCATGAGCACGTCTCGCGCCGGAACAGCCGACGCTACTGCGATGCCCGGGCGGGCGGGGGCAACCACCGCCGCCGGCACAGCAGCGGCCAGCGCGACCCAACCAACGACGAAGACGGCGAGCCGCTGCCAACGCCCGAGCAGAAAAAAACACACGCCGCCTGCCGAGGCGTCCCCGTTCTGCCTGTGCCTGGTGGCCGGAAGGTCGCCGGGCGAACTTTCCCGCTCCCTCGCGAAGGTTTCCAGGGCCCGCGAGGTGCTGGACGCGCTTGATGAGGGCCGCGAGCACGCCGGTCGGTGGTGTCGGTGGGCCTCCTCCGCGCTAGTGGCGGCGGAATCGGCGCCGCCCCCCCGAAGCGGCGCCGTTTCCGGCGCAGCAGCAGGCAGTAGAGGTGAGTGTTTTTTTTGGAGGCTGAATGGTAGGCTTAATGCGTTCCTGTGGGAGCTTCGAGTTTTTTTTTAATGAGTTTTTTTTCGGTAGAAAACCTTTGTCGTGTGATTTTCTTGCGCCCTGGGAGGCGTCTTGTCGGTCTTGAGAGGTAAGGAGGCCAAATGGCGATGGGGCTTCCTGCGAAGAATGTTTTTTCGTAACCCAGTAGCTTTCGACATCAGCAATGGAGGGGTGCCTCAACGAGACATGCAGCAGCATAAGAGCCCCCGGTGAGCGTCTTCACCACAAAACAGAAGTTGAGGTCATGGCCCCCTGCTGGCAGAGTCGGGTGTGGTGCGTTCAAGTGACGATATTCTTGATCCCTCCAATGCCCCGTTTATAGGGTGTGCTACTATTGTCGCATTGGCGGATTCTCCTAGCACTTGATACTGCATTCCATCCCTTTGTTTATAGAACTTGCCTCCCGGAGGGGCGACTGCAGACCGGATTCTGCTGCGTGGATGATGGTGCCCCTTGCTGCCCCAGCGGGAAGGGGCTCTGTTGACTTCTGAACACATCACGCCTCGTTCTGTATCTTCCTTACTATCCTCTCCATGGGGTGATAGAACAGCAGGATCTACCTACAAACGGGTAGGTGAATGTTCCCTGCGCGTCTCCTCTGGTGCTCTCAGTTTGATGGCACTGCGGACGGTTGCCCAGCCTTTGTAAACTCAATCCCTCGTCGTCTGTTTGGCTCCTGTTGATGGTGGAGGTGGCGGTGATGTGAAGCATTGAAATTCCGGACATTTTTCATTTGATTCATGTGTGAAAACTGGACAAGATCTCTCCAGTGCTTTTTTCCGGATAGCGCTGACTGAAATCGATGGTGCTGTCAGCTACAGGGATCAAGCTTGCTAGTTGTGGGGGCAGGGATTCGGGATGATGTGGTATACCACCTTCCTACTGGCAGAGCTGAAGGAGAAATCGCGTGTTTTCTTGACCTGAGTCGTTGCTTTTACTTTTGAAGGCCGTGCCTCGTGCTGCAGACGGTTATATGATGCTTGTTGTGTCTTGCAAGCTACCATCGTTAAGCGTAGCTGGGTGTATAACCTGGACGTGCTGGTGTGTTGCCCGTTTGTGACGACGGGTACATTGAGAGGTCTCGACAGACCTTTCCACAGCGCCACCAACATCACCCCAACCAAGTCACAGCGGCAGCGACGACGGGAACAGCAACAACAGCGACAGCACCAATGGCGCCAAGGATACTCACCAAAGAGTGGGGATGGAGCCATGACTGTGTTGTCCTTGGAAATCGCTAGCGTGAACGTTTCTGCTGTGAATAATAGTATACAACGTCAGCCATCCATATCTTGATGGGCCAACCCTACTCTGCCTTCTCTGAATTCTTCTTTCACTCTTTGCACTTCTGAGTACAGGTGCACCAAGGTTGCCCGAAGACACGGCGTCTTTGATAGCAGCGGCGGCAACGATTTCTGAACCAGCGGAGGACAACCAAGCGACGGGAGACGTGCGCGATGCCACGCTGCGGCAAACGTGGTGCTTGCAGGAGGGGCTGGAGAGGCGCGTGAGGGCTGCCCTCCCCCCCGCCGCCGGCACGCCTGCCGCGGGCAGCCCCGTGCCGTCATGGCTATCGGCAGCTATAGCGATGTTAGAGCCGACGAGACGGGATGGCTCCGCACCGATGAGGACGGGCAGGTTAGTGACCGATTTTGCGTGTTGTCGTCTGGCAACACAATGTGTGCGAGCGCAATTGCCGAGAGGTTTGGGTCTTGATTACAACCGTACACTTGTTGTTGGTTGCTGTTGCTGTTGCTGATTGGTACCGTGTTGTTGTCGTTTATGGTGTTGCTGTTTCTGTTGCTGCTGTTGTTGAAGGTTTTTTCAGTGCGATTGTTGTTGTTTCCCTGGGGCCTTCATTTTCTCAGCAGTAGGACGTACGGCCACGCAAGTGCCGGACCCCCTGGGACGGCACGACCACGACCGAACGTCGGCAGAACCCGCACGGTACCCATCCCTCTTCTCTCGGCGCCGCCGTGCGTGGGCTGTCTCTGCCTCACTACCACTGCCCGAATCGTTGCTTTTGTGCCGGATCAAGGTACTGCAACGCCACATCCCCGTAAACACAAAACCCTGGCACTTCTTCAGTCCCGCATTCAGTGCACTACCGTGTGATACCATGACTTACTTTTTTTTTCCCCTTAGTGCGAGCGTTCTTCGATGTTGACGCAAAGTTTCTTCTTGGCTTGACTTGATCCGAATCGATACAAGGAAGCCGCGTCCCTCCTACCAAATACCCGCCATGCCAGACAGCTTTGTGGCTCCGTAGCGCGGAACGGCGGCCGGAGGACTGGTCGGGCCGATGTGGTTTGGCGAGCGTCGCGTTTCCCGTGACATTGAACTCCACTGGTTCGCTCTCCTTTTTCCCCTCGCCGTTGTTCTGCTTGGTCGTTGAAACCACCAAGAACAACGCGCAGTTGCTTATTATACCGGCGTTTCAAGCCCATCTGTATGTATACCTGTATCTCCCAGCGCAGATACTCATATTTCCGGCGTTTCAAGCCCATCTGCATGTCGCATTTTGTATCTCCCAACCCGTGTGCCAGTCTCGAAGTTGATGAGCTACGAAGAGGTCTGCGGCGGTTGGCAGAGGGGATTGATTTACGACTTGGGGAAGCTGCGCTGACGACCACCCTGGAAGAGCAGCGAATACAGCGACAGCGGCAGCGGCAGCAGCGGCGGCAGCACCAGCACCAGCACCAGTACCAGTCAATGCCAGAGCAACAACAACAACAACAACGACATCGCCCGCCGGCGTTGCACACCAGACAGGCGTTTCCGCCCACATCGGCCGTAGAAGAAGTTAGCTGCAGTCGGGACCTTCGTGGGCATGATGGAGGTAGCGAGGCACAACTGTTGGCGGGAAGTTCATCCCCAGCGGAATCCGCTCTTTGGGACCGAAACGCCGACAAGGGGACGGGGGTGGAGTGGGCGGGCAGCAGCGCGCTTGAGCGATCGAGGGTGGCGAACAGAGAAAGGTTGGAGTCGCTGCTGTCGGCTTGCGTGGAGGCGATGCCGCTCGAGCCCCGAGGCGGGGGATGGTAGGACAGGAGCAGTAGCCTTCGCGGGATGTTTCAATTTTTGTGAACATGTTGAATATTGTTGTAGCATTCGATCGGGGAGGTTGGGCTAGGGATAGCGTTAGGGCTAGGGATGATCGGTTCTGCGTACCCCCTTCGCGAAAAGTTAAGATTTGTGAGGAAGTTTTACAGGGAGGGGGATACGCAGACCCAATCATCGCAGAACCTGCTACACTACCCTAACCTAGCTCCCCCGATTGCATGCTTTATCCAACGTGTCTACTTGATAGAAAAACGCTGCGAGGGCTACTCTGGTAGCGGTGCTTTCTGCACGGGTCTTGCGCGCACGTCTCACGCTCTACCGTCTTTTAGTTTTCTGTTAAGGCTCACTGCTGTATGTATCGGGAAAAAATAACCCGAGAAATGAACCTGATAAAAATAAACGGAACGGTGAAACAAGACACCGCCGGTTTTTCCGCTCCCTTCTTGGAGTTCCGATTTTGCTGACAGCAATAGCTTATCGGAGGCGATCCAACTCCTGGTCACAGAAAAATGATCGATTGATTGCTACCAGGCGGACGCAGTCAATGTTCGGGCCGTGCCGATTGTTGGTTGGCTTCGGTACTTGAGGTACTTGTAGCTTGGCCTCTGAGGTTGATTGTCAAGTCTCGGCCCGTTTGTTCTCGACCACCGCGCGTGCTCCCTGGGTTTGTTTGCCTGTATGCATACGTTTCGTAAATAACACCCGCCGTTTGTTGCGATCCCAACCAAACGCGACAGCAGGCTGATGGCCAGCTAAATGTTTTCGGTCTTGGCGGGGCAATCGCCGTGCTGCCTCTCTCATTGCTGTGTGAGGTCTCGATAGCACCTTGCGTTCGCAACAGGTCCACGGTATCGTCGCACGTGGGGCGCACCCGAAGTGCGGAGAGTTAAAGGTTTTGATCGTGACCCGAGCGTTCCGTGGATGGCTTCTACGAATCGACAAAGCTACATACCGCCGACTCCTCCTGTGATGAGAATCATCTCTTCATATGGGTGCACCCGTGGATTCTCAATATGTCCCTCGGAGAGCATCATGGTACATCATGGTGCTTCTTGGGGTATGGTGGTCCCGCCAAGGTCAATCACCGCCGAATGATACCACCGCCTCGACCTTACCGCCGGATGATGCTGCCATCAATTACAAGTTATCACCACAGTTTTTCTGCTCGGACGAGGAATGAAATGGTCAATATGACGGTTAGGGGCTGAGGGCCGTCATTAATGTAGCTGTTGTTTCCTTCCAAATTCCCAAACGATGTTGTCTCGGCCGCAAATCGAGCTTGTATGGTCTACGGATGGATTTGGAAACCTTGAGACTTGGAAGCGAAATAGCTCTTGTTTACAACTGTCAGGAGTGGGCAGAGATCTCGGGTCGTTCACGTTTCAGTTGATTCGGCTGTTTCTTTGCGTCAAACGTTAAATTGCTGCATGCTCACGAAATCGTCTTCCGCATTCAATCGTCGCTGCAGTAACGGTAACGTTCCAGAATAATTTCTGCGCACAGCACCTTCAAAGAACCGTACCGGTCCTCCAGAAGGCGCCAGTGACTTCGGTCGTCACAGGCCAACTACCCAGGAAAAACCGAACGAAATAACCGTTCGAAAAACATTCAGTGTATAGACTATAGTCTAGGCTTATTGCACATGTGTTCGCAAACCACAGTCAGCCAACCAAATTTCAAGTTCTGGCCCCAACATGAAACAAAAAACTGTCACGCAGTGTTACGACAAGAGGGAATCGGTACGCATAGTCTAAGTACTGTAGAGAGGAACGCCTACACACGATCTTGTTTTGGACCCGCAAGCTGTATGTATTGCCGAGGATTTCCCCCCGTCGTTTCCCCTCCCGTCGCACGACGTTACGGCGAACCCGTGCACAGCCGACATTCTGCCGACTGCGAAAAGAGTCCACCCCCCGCCCGGTGCATCGAACGTGGCAGGCAAGACCCTCGCGCAGACATGTAACCAAGCCCCCCGTCGCCATCACCAACCATCACGGTTCCACCCACTCGTCTCCCGACCTAGGGCGACTGCATCATTCTCGAGCGGCTCCGACGTCCTTGTCCGTCCCCCATCAAGTACCATCATCCATGACTATGCAAGGATTTGGTTGTTACTCCCTATCAAGATTCCTGTGCCACATTATATTCCCGCCAACTCCTGCAAGTGCAGTGCAACTGCGGGCACAACGAGCAAACAACCCTCAGGAACAAGCTGACGCCTAATCACTAACAACGTAATCACTAACCGTATATTCTCCAAACAGTCTTGGCTTCGACACAAGAGGTTGGCGTGACAAAGGCTCCCCAGCCTCCTATCTATTATATCGGAGTCCTCTCTTGCACCGGAAAAAGAGGGTTGCTAAACGGCCGGGTGCCGAGCTAAACAGTAAAAGCGCGTCGAATCCGGGACAACCGATTTCGACCCTCCTGTATCGGAATCTCCTCTAATAAGGTGCCCTCATATGTCGAAGCCACGACTGCAACGGAAGCCGACGGCGCCAGCAGACAACCAGCAGTCGGAACGACGACAGAAAAATCGCGAAAAAGGCAAGACGGCGTACTACGTTGCAATACAGCGACCGTTGGCACGACTAGAAACGAGCTTCACAAGAAATGAAGGTATTCACATTGATTGCAAAAAACCTCAGGTATTTGTCGGAACGGTGGAACAGTACCCCGATACGCGACGTGGAGTCTAGACTCCAACAGGCAGTCCAAGAGCCACCCAAGAGCAAGCCGAAATAACGGTTCTTATTGTCCAAAGTCATGTGCCCCCCGCCAGGGATTAAAGCTGCGTGGTAGGCGTTGAACCCCCGAATGCTTCTCCTACTGATTCCCGCAGAGCCTAACGAAGGACGCTTGAGATCGACGCTCCACCCCACCTTGACTGTTGGCACTGTATCATTCTGGAGCACGCGCTGTTGCATAAATGCGACACCCTCCGAAGGCAGCGAAGCACGAAAAACAACTACCGAGCCCGAAAACCATGATGGTTCCTCAGCGCAATATTCCACTCTCCGGTCCTCCTGCTACAAATTAATGTTGTGACCGGAACGTCAGGGTCACGTCCCCCCTGATTCGTCGTTTCTTTCGTTTATGTTTCGGCTGAATCATAAATGATCACTTTGATGAATAGGCCGGCCCAAGTGTACACTATGACCTCCATGGTACCGTGCTACATTTAGGCAGGGAATCAACGCTGCTTTCATGAGGAATCGAGTCTCCCTTTTTTTCGCCGGGAAGAACACTTTGGCAATGCCACTGAACATGTGCAGATATTCTCAGGTCCAATCATGTGTTCCGCAACCCCTTCTACATTCACAGTCGATTCCAAATCCAATCATGTGTTCCGCAACCCCTTGCGCTTGAATTGGTGGACCTCAGACGAGTCGACCTTCCTAACAGGACCCCGGAAACCCGTGCAGTAAATAGTCGAACCCTTCTGCTCCAGCTGCGCGTCGGAAAGCCCCCAAGCACGGACAACCGAACGACGAGCTGATTGTGATGTGCGCCCTCTTCACTTTGAACGTCTTCTCGCTCCCCAACCTTTTGCCCTCCCAGGTGGCCGTTCAAAGCTTCCTGCGCTGACGTTTTTTCGAAGCTAGCTGCGGTGTGACTGGCCTATTCGTTGGAGATTGAGTCATCAATGGCCGACATCAACAGCTGCACCAGCCCAACCAGAGCAAGCCCCCAGTGTACAGAAGTGGCATCATCATCATGCTCGGAAGGCGTCACCGTCTCTTCGCCGACGTCACTACCGGGGTGCAGAGTTTCACCAGATTTCGTTGACGTGATTTTAGAGAAGGACCGGCTCGAGTAAAGGAAAGGTACCTTCTGAAGCAAGTTACTGGAGGTGCGAGCGGAGCGCGGCAGATTGCTGCTTGAAGCGTCGCTAGCGTTCCCGTGCCCGCGCAACTGCGTAGGGGTGAAGTACACGCGGCCCGTGGTATGCCGCCTGGTGGGGGGAACGGTTGCTGCGCTGACGGAGGTTGTGTTCGAAGCATCTAGTCCGTAGGGGACGGTCTTTCCCGTTGTCTCCACGACCTCGCGATCCGTTTCTTGCTTGCCCTCGTCCGCGACGAGGACGGCCACCTTGTTGCCGCCCGCGCGAGTGCCGAGTCGCATGACCGCCTTGTCGCCAACCTCGCACAAGAAGCCGAGCACCGTCGAGATGCACACGGCGTCGACGAAGTCGAACGAGAACGGGATCAACAGGATCGACATGCCTGTGGGCGGCCGGCATGCGGGGGGAAGGGGAGTGTACTCATGACCATGCATGCCGTAGTCGTTACCATTGACCTCGCATCCCTACAAAGCCGGGACGGACCAAAACGGATTCTCATCGGGTCAGGGGTTCCGCGTTTTGGGAAGTGCCGCACGGCGTGATTTGGACCGCCACGGACGCCCTGTGCGCCCAATCCTCTGAAGAGTCCAGTACAGAGAACAGTCTCACTGGCTGGGACGGTCGTTCATGCTACTCTGTAGCGCGATAGTGGTGCCATCAGTAGCCTCGAGGGCTAGATGTTCCACTTGACATAGACATCTACGGTCAACTGCGTACGTGCACGCAGGCCGAAAAACGATGCGAGAGACAGGGTGCTGGGTTGCTAAGTGTTGTCGTAGAGATCGACTGCGTCCAGTTGGCGCTTGTGCCACACGTGGACCATGTCACGGGCAAAGAGTTCTTCCTTCCTACAGCATGTAGTTCACTTGCCCGAAACCCACTCCGAAATACTCCAGTTCAACTTCTTCGTGGTTGCTTGAAATGGGCAGAAAGCTAGCGGAACCAAGCCAGTCCAACTCGGTGGTTGATTGAGGTGGTGGGAAGGCTAGCCGGCCCCACGTGTGGTCATGCACGCAGCGCGCTTGGTGTCCTATTCAGGCGAGAACACCGTGCCTATGCAATACAGTGCTCGCCCGCTCGTAAGGGACACCAGTCTATTTTGAGCGAGGCTCAAACCCTGTTGTGTTTCCACGACTGGGAAATGCATACACCACACAGGAATTGGTTGATTTAGCGCCGGCCGCGTCGATGCTCAGTTTCTTTGGGTACGTTGTCTCAAGTTTGTCGACAATATATGAGCCTCGATTTCTTACGAACTTGCTTCTCGCGAGGGGGCCGGCACTGCCGTATCTCTATCTGTGCTGCGGCAAAACTTCGCTCGAGGGGCTCGACATCGCTCCTTACCGAACATGAGGAGGTTTCTGGGCTCGTTGACGTCGATCATTTTGATGACGGTGAAAAACCTGAGTTGGAGTAAACGGCACAAACAAATATTGTTGTGGGTGCTGATTTGAAGTGAACACACGACAAAAATGAAGACAGAGAGCAGTGCATCCTACCTGTCGAACTTTGACCCTGTTCTTGACGAACATACGTATGTGTACGTTTCAGCAGCTG